TGCTGATGATTATGGTGATGATGATGATGCTGATGCTGTTCATGGTGATGACAATGCTGATGATTATGATGACGAGGATGCTGATGGTTGTGATGATGCTGAGGCTGATGTTGATGCTGATGCTGGGCACGATGATGTTGGTGATGTTGGAGCTGCTGCGGATGGGGATGATGAGGATGAGGATGAGGATGAGGATGAGGATGAGGATGAGGATGAGGATGAGGTTGCTGATGCTGATGCTGATGTTGATGCTGATGCTGATGCTGATGCTCATGCTCATGCTGATGCTGATGCTGCTGATGATGCTGATGCTGATGCTGCTGACGATGATGAGGAGGAGGAGGAGAAGGAGGAGGAGTAAGAGGAGGAGGAGGAGGAGGAGAAGGATGAGGAGGAGGAGGAGATGCAGGAGGGGAGGCGGAGGAGAGTGAGGCGGAGTGGAAGGATGGGGAGGAGGGAGAGGAGGGACATCCTGGAGTAGGAGGAGAGGAGTAGTAGGAGGAGGTGGAGGAGGGGGAGGAGGAGGAGGACGAGGAGGAGGAGAAGGAGGAGGAGGAGGAGGACCAGAGGGGGGAGGAGGGAAGTCCAGGAGGAGGGGAAGGATGAGGAGGATGAGGTGGAGGAGGACGAGAAGGAGGAGGAGGAGGAGGAAGAGGGGGAGGAGGAGGAGGATTGTGCTAGGATTGTGCTACTTAGGACTTACGCAGATGGAGAGCACCACGCAAGCCGCCTTCGCCGTGCAAGTTAAGACTTACAAGGGTTTCACTGTGGATGGCTGGCGGCACTCCCACAAACGCGTCAGTCGACCCTTGGCCGTCCGAGCTCGGGCGGGCCTGCAGCCCTCCTTCACAAGGTTCGTCCACTTACACTGGGCGTAGGAAGCACATCGCCTGCAAAACATAAAACGGGGCGATACACGAGGTGGTGTCCTCACCCCTGTGCCTTAAGAATGCGTGCTTGTCGGGCTTCGAATTCGACAGATTCTGCGCCCGACGGCCCGCACTGAGTCTGGCTTGTGGCCCTGGGAGTGACGGTCCCTGGGGCCAACAGGCGGGGAGGGGGGAGGCATCAGAGGAGGAGCAGGATTCGACTCGGCGGCCTGACTCGGAACTGGTCCACTGATGCTGCAGGCTTCGACATCGGTAATCGTATCGACGATTTCGGGCGACATGGCGCCGAGCCTGACAGCAAACTCCAGGGCATCTGCTACCGTGGTATACTTCTGCTGATACGCCTGACGCTGCCAGAACGGGTGTGCGCACAAATTAGCCCTTTTCTTCGCGTATTCGTCCGCGAAGCGGTTGCCTTTGATCAGTCTCTCGCCAATCTCTCGCCGCTGGGCTCGAGTGGCGTGGGCCCTACGTTTTATTATCTGGATGGTCCTGGGGCCCAGCCCTCCAAGATCGTTAACCAGAAAACAAAATTCTCGCCAGAGATCGCTGTGTGCCCTGGCATAAATTTTGAGGGGCGGCATCACGCTCTTCAGCACCTGATGGATAGCGTACAGCTCTGACGGGTATGTACCCTGCCGATTTTGAGGCAGGGGGAGGGGGCCGACAGCTGAAAACGCACGGCTCTCCCCCGAGGCATCTGGGGTGGGGAAGCTCCACCCCGCACGCCGAAGGGGGACACATTCACCGTACAGGAGTGATCCATATGTACAGACCTCTCCTGTGATGACTCCTGGATGTTCGCCCTCCTGCGGGACCTCGAACGAGACTGGCAGAACATCCAGGGGTTCTATAGGGTCCTCGGAGGTTCCTCTGGCCCAGAGGGATTCGAAACCTGGGAACGGGTTTGCTCCTCTCTGCTGTACGTGCCTGCCACCTACACGCCTGCGCATCACATCACGCGTGCTGCATACATACATGTGGTGTAAATCTGTATTTGCAGCATTCATACCAATATGTGCCAAGTCGTGCGCCTCGGTCCCGCAAGTGACTGTAGTTGGACTCTGGGTGCTCCAAACAAGGCGAATTACAGTTGCAACGAACGCGCCTGCTGGCCTTCTCACTGGGCCCCACGGCCTCGGATGCCCGTGGGGTCGCATGGCCCACGGGCGCCAGCTGGCCACCAGGAGGCCGCGCGTAGCCATGTCCGTCACCTCCTGCCTCGCCCTGGCCCACTCCACGATGGGCCCCGCGGTGGCGATCACGGCAGGGTCCGCGTCCTCCGCCAGCAGCTCCAGCGCGGCCGACCCCCCCTTGTAGCAGCCAGGGAAGGCCGCCGCCACCGTCTGCCTGAGCATGGTGATCAGCGTGTCCGTGGCGCTCTGAACGCGTGTGCCGTAGAGCTCCGACGGCACGATCCCGAGCTTGACCACCTTCTCCGCTGCGCCTCCTGCGGCCTTGACCCTCTGGATCTTCCAGCTCATGGCCTTCGCCTTCATGATCCTCTTGGACTGGGCTTCGACACGACGTCGCCGCGCAGCTGACTGGGTCACACCCAAATGCACGGCCTCTCGCACCACCTGAATGCCCATCTGCTTGTACTGGCTGCCAAGCTGCCGATCCACTCTGCCATGCGAGACCGCGTCTACGGTCTTGCCGTCCCTGCCTCTCGATACCTGCAGCTCGAGCGCCTGCTCGAAGGCGAAGATGATCTCGTCGGTCAGCTTCGTGTGGAGCGCCGCCACTGCGTCCACGTCGTCTCGGTTCGACGCCGCGAGGTCGTCGAAGTATAGGCACATGTCGGCCCTCGGGCTCGCGACGTAGATGTCGTCGATGGTGCCGATGGGGGCGAGGGGCAAGTTCAGCGGGCCGAACACGGATCCTGCCGCGATCCCTCGCGCCCAGAAGCTGCCCTCGGTGTCGCACCCATTCAGCACCACTCTCCTCATCATCATGGCGACGTGCTGGTACGTCTCGCCCGCGGGGACTGTCTCTGGAGGCTCACAGAGTCTGGGTTTTGCCTCTCTCGCGTTGTGTGGTACCAAGGGCTCCCACGGGACCTTCAACTTGGTCCACTTGTGCAGGGCCCCCGCGGACTTCTCGCTGTGGTTGCGAGCCCATGCCCGCCAGGGCTTGGTGGATTCCCTGAGCTCGCTCTGCCTCGCCTCGTCCGCCTCGCTAGCCGTGACCTGCTGCCAGTACTGGAGGTATTCCAGGCACTCTGACAGCTCCTGCGGCTCCTTCGTGCATTCCAGGATGGTCTCGAAGACGTGGGACCACGGGGTGTTTAGCTCCTCGCCAAACTGGTGGAGCTGGACGAGGGCCCACTTCTGGGTCTTTGCCTCCTTGATGGACTTGATACGGCCCGCATCTTGGCCGCCTGGCTCGCACGAGCCGCTGCTGAGGATGTGCACCAGGTCCCGCAAGCGACTCGCCACCCATTCTGTTGCCATAGCTCGCGCCGTCGGGGCTCCCTTGTCCCTGACCGCTGGGGGCGCCAGCTCTCGCATCTTGTAGACAGCCTTGCCGGGCAGGTAGGTTATCCCCATGCGGCTTGGCACCGCGATCATCACCCCCGCCCTCGTGCCTTCCTTGGTAGGTGCGCTGGGAACCACTGCCGCCTTCCAGCCAGATTTGCTGCGCCTGGCCGACAGCAACTCCACTTGCTTGGGCGCCAGCTGGAGCTCCTGGCCGAAGACGACTGACGCCTGGACCTGGTAGCGCAGCTGGTGCAGCACCTTCTCGAACTGGTTGTAGGTGTTCGCATTGCACGTGATGAACACCAGTTTGTCTGCCCTGGTACTTGCGCGCTGCTCTTGTACGTCGCTAGGATCGTGACAGGCTCGACTTCCGCATCGCGAAATGGAACCCATCAGCCATATCAGCAAGAATAGTATGCAACACCGGCCCGTGCTTCTGTACTTCATCGTCCTTGACACCGGCCTGCTTGAGGGCTGTCGCGATCTCCTGGGGGCTTGCCTTGGCCTTGAGCTGGAGGATGACCTCGCCCTGCTCCTCGGGGCCTGCACAGGCGCGCCTCTTGTAGCGTGGGCAGTCGCCGCTGAGGCTTGCCCCGTCTTCTTCCATCGCCACCGCCATCTTCTCTGCAGCGTTCGCCTTCTTCTTCGCCGCGGGCGCGAGGGCCGCCTCCAACTGCTTGGTGCCCTCCGCATCCTGCTCCTCGCCGTCCGTCCCCAGGGGCGTCTTGGCGATCTCCAGGCGCGCGCAGACCGAGTCCGATCCTTTGGACGTGGGGGCCTGGCCAGCGACTTCTCCTTGACGCGGAGGGACTCGACCTTCTTGCCCGCCTGCTCGGCCTTGTTCTCTGCGATGTGCAGCTGAGTCTGGATGTCCTCGAGCTGCTGCTTGAGCTTCACCACTTGGGCGTCTGCCTTTGTCTGTGCTTTCTCTGCTCCGCGGAGACTGCGGCGCACGGCCACTTCCGCGTAGCATGCTGGTAGTTGTGCTTCTTTTGGTGCCAGCAGCCCGTCGATCTGTTCTTGCAGCTTCGTCGTGGCTTCCGATGCGAACTCCATGCCAGGTTCCTGCGCGAGCTGTTCGAGATCTCTGAGGCGGGCCCTGAAAATCTCCAGCTTCTTCGCAAACCCTGGCGTGGTCTCATTCGAGGCGTCGCCGTCGGTGTCCTGGTGCGTGTCCTTCGAACCGTCGCCCTGCCCGTCACTCTTGGGCACCTGCCGAGGCTTCTTACACCAGTAGCATACTTTCGTCCTTCCCCAACAATCATCAGTGTGGCACGCTGTGCAGGTCCACATTGCCAGACCTCGGGGGCATCTGGTTGCTCGGGGCGGCAGTGCCACTGCCAAGTTTGCCGCACCCTGCGACACGAGAAATCTCCTGGCACTTGGAAATCCTCGAGTCGGGCAATGGCTGAGGAGGAGGAGGAGGAAGAGGAGGAGGAGAAGGAAGAGTAGGAGTAGGAGTGGAGTGGGAGTAGGAGTAGGAGTCAAGCTAGCCAGCTCGAGCGAGTCAAGCATGGCATGCCCAGTCCCACCCGCCCTCCCACAACATAAGAAGCAAAGCTGGCACAACTGGGGGCCGAAGTCACACCGGCCAGCCGGTTTGGTACAGCTGATGCGGCCGCGATGGCGG